CTTGGCTGTTTCTATTTTTCAGCTATTATGAGTAACACTTCCGTGCACATTCAAGTATGAACCTCGGGCCTTGCACATGATACGCAAGCATTCTGTCAGTGAGCTACCTCTTCAGCACTCACGTATAAGTCTTTGTATGGATGTATGTTATTTCTCCTGGATATATACCTACAAATAGAACTGCTGGGCCCTATGGTAACTTTATGTTTAAAATTTTAAAGAACTGCTAGTTAGTATATGCAGGGTTCCAATTTCTCCATGTAGTCACCAGCATTATCACTTGTGGTCCTCACCAACTCCCATGCTGGGGACTAAGCTGAAGGCCTTGCACATGCTAGCTAGGTGTGGTACAGTACACTATGCTCCTAGCCCTCAGATGACACATTTTGAGTTAATTTCTTTAATGTGGTATAAGAGAAGGGTCCAGCTTGATTCTTTTACATAAGTATATCCAATTGTCCCAGTACCATTTGTTCAAAAGACGGCTCTTTCCCCCACTGAATTGTCTTGGCGCACTCAGTGATGATTTACATACTGTTAGACTCGGTGTTCGTTTTTTCACTTACCTTATTTGAGCTCTCTGCCAGAGTGACATCATTGACAATTCCCTCCAAATAGCCTACTCTTTGTTCTCCTTTTACGTATACTGCCTTTGTGTGTGTGTGTGTGTGTGTGTGTGTGTGTGTGTGTGAGAGAGAGAGAGAGAGAGAGAGAGAGAGAGAGAGAGAGAGAGAGAGGGAGGGAGGGAGGGAGGGAGAGAAGGAGAGGGAGAGGGAGAGTCAGTTTCACTATGTAGTCTAGGCTGGCCTAGAGTTCAGTATGTAGCCCAGGTTGTTCTCAAACTTAAGATCTTCCTGCCTTAGCCTCCTGAGTGCTGAGATTATAGGTATGTGCCATAACACCCAGTTTTATCTTGTTCTTTCTTTTTAATCTTTACAGGTTCCTTGGAGTCTGCTAGGAATGACTGATTGACTTTGGTTTTTTGAGACAGGGTCTTGCTATGTAGTTTAGGCTGGTCTTGAACTTGCAGTGATCCTGCCTCAGCCTCTGGAGTGGTATCACCATACCCAGCTATACCAAGGTTTTAAATGTTGGGTTTTTAGTTACTGTGACTGTATAACAAATTGCCATAAAACTTAGCTGCATAAAATAATCATTTATTATTTTACAGCTTCTCTGGGTCCGGAATTCAGACTAGGCAAAGCAGCCTGTCTCTGTTCCATGAAATCTAGAGCCTTAGCTGAACACGCAGGCCAGGGGTGGATATCATCTGAAGGCCTGTGTACACTTAAATTTCAAGCAGTTGATGGTCATTAGCTGAGGGGCAAGCTCAGCTCAGATCCACCGTTCCTGTGGTTTCTCCGTATGGGCTGCTTTGGGCTTCCTCACAACATGGTGGCTAGGTTCCAAAAAGGCGCTTCTGGAGGGAGAGAGAAAGAAAGGAAGATGAAGCCCAGGCCATGTGACCTCTTATGACCAAATTTTAGAAGTTACAGAGCATTACTTTCAACACATTTTAAAAGTCAAAGTAGAGGGCTGAGGGGGCACCTCAGCGGCATGGCACCTGCTTGGCAAGCTCAAGACCCTGAATTTGATTCCCAGTAACAACAACAAAACACCACAAAAAAATATCAAAGTAGAAGCTGGGCATGGTGGCACATGCCTGTAATCCCAGCACTCAGGAGGCTGAGGCAGGACTGGCACAAGGTCAAGGCCAGCCTGTGCTTGCACAGTGGCCAGTGTGAGCTGTATGTATCTATATAGTCTCTCAAAAAACCAAACTATGTATCTCAAAAGACCGAACAAAGAAAAAAAAGTAGTCATCAAATCTTGCCTGCACTTGTCACAGCAGAATTTTATTGAGAGGAGACACGGTCACACCCATCAGATGCACATTCACTCTCGCTCTCACAGCCACACTCACACGCACACGCCTTCTCCAGCCTCTGCCACACCGTCCAGTTCTCAGCCACGGGTGGGACACCCCTTGATTCCTCAGATCCAGAGGCTGCAGGGCCCAGAGGGAGGCACGGGGTGGGGGTGGAGAAGTGGCCTGGGTCAAGGGTGGGGTGGGGTGGGAGAAAGGGGTGCTGGGAGCAGGGGGAGCGGGGCACCCCCGCAGTGGGTGTGTGAAGGGTGGATCCTGGTCACAGTGGCCTCAGCGTGGCTGTGCCCCTGCAGGAGCCCTTCTGGCCTAAAGCCGGGCCTCCCACCCCGCAGGAGTCCTCTGGGCGACGGCTGGGGACCGGAGCAGGCAGGCCAGGGCAGGCAGCAGCAGCAGGCTCAGCTCTGGGGCTCCTTGGGAGCCTCGCCGCCCTCTTCCCTGGCGTTGCTGGCTTTCCGCAGTGACAGGTTGTCTCTCAGCAGCTGCACGATGAGGGTGCTGTCTTTGTCGGGGACCTCGCTGAGTGTGTGCAGGTCAGCCATGGCCTCAACAGAAGTGGTCTTGGCCAGCGAGATGGTGTCCTCAGGGCTGTTGGCGATCTCGTAGTGGCAGACAGAAATGTTCAGGGCCGGGCCCAGGCGGGTGGGGCTGGTGGGTGGCATCTCCTTGCTGATGCCCGTGGCCTCCTGGCAGGCTCCCCGGGCAGAGTCGATGGTGGGCGCTTCTTGTCATCACTGGTGGCCACCTTGGCCAGGTAGCGGTAGTAGTTGCCCTTCACCTTCAGGTAGAGACCCGGCACTCGGCCTCCCCAGCCTCCTCGATGAGGTGTGAGTCCAGGAGGCCCAGCACCATGTCGCATACACCCTGGAGCTCCGTCTCCGCCTTCTCCCCGTACCCTCTGAGCCCTCCTTGCTGCTTTTCTGCTCAGTGCTGGACAGGACCCTCCAGCAGCCCTCTGCCCACCACGTTCTTTTGCAGGCCAGAAAGCAGGTTCCGCTCTTCGCAGGAGAGGTCCTCATCCTTCTCCACAGAGCCCTTCATGGAGGCTGCCATATATCCACAGAGCTTGGCCTTCTGGGTCAGACTGGCTTTCCATGGCTCTGGGGACAGACAGTCGGGTGGTGGGCTAACTGGCTGCCAGGTCACCAGTGCCAGGTTCTGTCTTTTACCTGCATTTAATGGGAGGGAAATAGATTTCGCCTCTTTATGGGGAATGGCAAGGTTCTAAAATGTATGGGGACAGTATGGGTGTAGTTCAGTGATCGTGTATGTAGCTGGCATGCATGAGGCTCTGGATTAAATCCCCAACACTGCAAAAACAACTACAACAAAAACCGCATGGGGAGCTAGGTGTGGTGGTGCATGCCTGTAATCCCAGCACTTGGGAGGCTAAGGCAGGAGGACTGCTGTGATTTCTAGGCCAACCTGGACTACATAGCAAAACCCTGTCTCAAAAATCCAAAAAACAAAACAAAACACTCCATGTGGGGCTAGAACTATTGCTGTGCCTTTTTTTTTTTTTTTTAGAAAAATTGCCGCAGTACTTTCTGGCCACATACTTCACCTCCTTACCATGTGCTAAATACACACAGCCTCTCCCCTAAGGTCCCCCCAGTTCTCATCCCATTACGTCATCACGCTCAAGCTTGAGGTTCAAGATCTCAAGGAGGCTAGGTCTAAGTGCAGATGAGATTCTTTGTGCAGTTTCTTGATTACAAATCCTGGTTTCTTGATTACAAACCCTTGACTGAGGTTCTTGACCTGGAAACCTATAAAGAGGCAAATACTCACTTTTCCACCATACACGGTGGAGCATAGGTCAATCTTCCCATTCCAAGACAAGGAAACCAGGAGGTACATGGAAGTCACTGATCCAGAGTGATTATGTTCTTCTATTTTTGGCCCTATGAGATCCTTTTTATTCCCGTAACTTTAAGCACCATTCATGGTTTCAAATTCTTCGAGCATCACACTACTGGAATGTCCACTTGACCATTTTATACCTTTACTAAAATATCTCACAGATATTTCCAACTTAATATTTTAAAATTAACTTTTACCCCATTTCCTCTACCAGCCTGTTCTTCTCCTGTTTTCCCCATCTTTGTAGATGGTTCTACCAGTTCACTGAGCAACTATCTCCAGCCCCCTCTTCCTTCCCCCCACTTCCCTCTCGTCGTTATATCCAATAATCAGCAAGTTCTGTATTATTTTTCTCCAAAGTATGTTCCCTTTTTCTTCTCACCCGGACTATAATCGTGTCCTTACTGGTCATGCTCCTTCATTCTTGCTCATCTCTAATTGCCTTTAACACGGCAGTCAAAATAGTATTCTATTCGTACGTGTGGCTCGGACACGCTCTTGCTCAAAGTTGTCTGTGAGCTCTCATTATCTTTTGAGTAAAATCTAAATCCTAGTCCATAGTGCCCATGTAACTGGCCTTGCTCGTCCCTCTGACCTTATTCCCTGATGCTCCGCCCCTTACCCTGCGCTTTTCTTCTCTGGGCTTTCAGACCCTTCAGGCACCAGCCTCACAGAGGGTCTGTGTGCCTGCAGTGCTCTCTCCTGACAGCACTTCCTCATAACTCAGTCTTTCATCCTTCAGTATGGCATCCCTGACCATTCTATCTGAGGAGGTACCACCTCTACTACCTTGTCACTATACTGTTTGTTTCCTTTTTCTTTTTTTTTTTTTTCCCCCGGTACCGGGAATCGAGCTCGACCTTGCACTTGCCAGGCAGGTGCAGTGCCGCTGAGCTCAATCCCCAGCCCCAGAGAAAGCGCCACGATTGTGTACGGCAGCGGCGCATCCAGGGGTAAAGAATATATTTGACCACAAAGGGATTGTTTCCTGTATGAAATTTATCCCATTTTAAACTTATATTCTTTTTACTTCTTTGTCTTCTGTCTCCTTACCTGGACTGTGGGTCCCCTAGCTGAGGGGAGATCTCTGTCATCCACCGGCATGTATCCGGTGCTGACCATATAGTATGCTCTCAATAAATATTGTTTTAAGGTATAATTATGTTTTGAGATAATATAATTCATGTAATTATTAATGATGATAAATGTATTACTTGCTAATTTGTACTGAACAAAATCTTTTACATTTCAGTAACTGCCCTTCCTTTTTGGCTGCGGCTCTGGCCAGAGCGACCTCAGATGAAGTCCTTCAGAGTGATCTTTCTGCACATTACATCCCAAAGGAGACCGAGGGCACAGAAGGGACTGTGGGTACGTACCTTCCTACGTTGTTCGCTGACTATAAATACACAGCAAAAGAGACCAGTGACCAAGTGTAGGGCAGTTGAGCAAATCTACTTAGAATTTTTAGCTTACCTTTATAAATCCAAGTAAAAAGTCAGATGTAAAAATAAGAAAATTTAATAAATCTTAATTATATTAACTTCTGTATCTACCAATAAATAAAGCTTTTTATGATAGATATGTAATATGTGGTTTAATTGCATGGACTACTGCACATCTTTTGTCAAGATGATTATGAGGTTCTCTTTCCCTTTCCTTTCTTTACTTTCCTCCGTCTCCCTTTCTGTCTTTCTTTATTTCTCTCTCTCTTTCATTTCTTTCTTTTTTCTCATACTGGGGATGGAACCTAGGACCTTGCACATGCTAGGAAAATATTCTACCACTGAGGTACAGTCCAGCCCTTTTATCATGAGACTCATGGTTACCCAGGCTGGCCCTGAACTTCTAATCCTCCTGCCTCAGCCTTTCAAGTCGCTGGGTACACAGACAGGCGCCACCACACTGGTGAGTGACTCAATTTCTTGAAAAAGACATATTTATTAATGTATTAAGTTTTTACATATTTAAAGATTTATCCCCCCCCCCTTGTGCTGGGGATCAAATCCAGGGCCACCTGCATGCTAAGCAGGTGCTCCACCGTTGAGCTGCATCCCTACCCCACTACCTAGAAATTTTAAAGAAAGTGTTAATTTGTTCTGTGTAAAGCATTTGCCTATAAACATAGTACATAAGGAATACAGCCTATATTAATGAATTAGAATAGCTAGATACCAGAGAATGTGAGAAAGATATAAAAATAAACATTCCTGTTCTTCCTTTATCTTTCTAGACTTTGACAGAAAATTGTCAAGGAAGGAATCATTCTGTTTTTACTGAGAGTAATTTATTCACCTGGAACTGAACTGTTCCAGAATCAAGTGGGATAGAATCCCAGCTACAAAGCATTGGTCTTTCCTCTGGAGCTGACGCATGTACTGAAAAGACGAAATAGATTAAATTCTGCCTCGCTGCAGCCAGGGTGACGGCTGACTCAGCCCCAGCTCAGTACAGTGGCATTAACAATGATGAGTAATGTACAGCTGTGAGGGGTGGGCTGCTACTTGGACGCCTTTCACTTTTTCACACCCCTTTTTTTTTCCATTTAATATGGCAATTGTTTATATACTGATGTCCCATACAGCTCGCTACAGGAGAATATTTAATATAGCAAGGTCAAAGTGCTCCCCTTTGTGCCTGGTTTGGAAGAATTTTCTGAACCCCATAAGGTAGCAAATGTGAAATGAAGAAGCATTTTTATTTTGATAGATATCAGATCATTCTGATTTTATATTTTTCCAATTATTCAGTAATGTCTTCATGCGTTTGCCATGATTTAGACTATACTGAAATTCTAATCTGTGTTCAGATCTTTATCTGCGTTGTCCAAGTCATTCAGTGTGAACTGCACTTGGGAAGAATCTCTACGGGGAATATATTGTTTATCTGTACATGAGAGTAAATGAGCACACCAAATAGGGCCCATAAGTCATTGGCTTGAAGGCCCTGAACTCCCCATAGAAATGCCTTTTTATCCCTCTACTTAGTTGTTTCCAAAAACAGACTTTAAGGGAAAAAATTTTCCTTTTCATGTTTATGTTATTCCTAAGAGAATGTTTACTAAGTGACCTTGCAAATCTGACTTGGTACAGATTTTATCCATAGAGAAACTGCTGTCCAGATAACCTAAAACCGACTTGAAATACTGAATGAAAATTGAAAACAAAGGAGCCAAAGCGTCATGGTGGTGCATACCTATAATGCCAGTACTCTGGGAGGCTGAGATAGGAGGACTGCAAGTTCAAATCCAGCCTGGACAACTTAGTGAGACCATGTGTCAAAATTAAAAGAATAAAAAGTGCTTGGGGATAGAGGTCCTGGGTTCAGTCCCTAGTGACACAAACACACACACACACACACACACACACCCCAAAAACAAAACAAAGCAAACAAAACACCCAAGAAAGGAAAATTATTGCTAATATAAAACAATTTAAAATAATTATTAAAATATTTGTGTAAAGAAATTTGAAAACCTGGGTATTTTGTAGAAAAATATAAATGAGCTAAGTTTACCTAAGAAAAGATTGTAAAAATTATCAAGGACAAAAGCACATGGAGTAGAGATAACCCCAATACTTTTTAAAATTAATGTTTTAATTGCACACAAAAAATATTTGCATAACACTTATACCAAAACCTGCTTAAGAGCAGGTGTGAGAGCACATGCCTGTAATCCCGGCACTCTGGGAGGCTGGGGCAGGAGAATCATGAGTTTGAGGTCAGCTTGGGCAATGTAGCAACTTTATTGAGACCCTGTCACCAAAAAAAAAAAAAGTCCTGGATTCAATCCCCAGTATTGCAACAAAACAAAACCTTACCTCACAATTGTACATTAACTACAACACTTCATTCATTCATTGAGTAATTTCTTGATAGCTTACCATATATACTCCTGAGTTTTTCATTGTAAGCGACCATAAACACAGCTCAGTTTAGCTTTAGCAAAACGTGATTTCCTGGGTGTGGTGGTGCATGCCTATGATCCCAGCACCTGGGAGGCTGAGGTAGGAGGATGACGCGGAGGCCAGCCTGTGCTACAAAGTGAGTTCAAGACCACCCTGAACTGCATAGTAAAACCCTGTCTCACACAGACAAAACAAAACCAAAAACCAACCCCCCCAAAAACAAAAAAGGATTTAATTGGCAACCCTCTAGGGTAAGGGCCACACAGCTATCTTGAAATGCTGTCAGTAGAACCTGGCATTTTTACAGGCGCAGCTGTACTGTCTTTCATTTTGATTTGATTACCAAGCTTCACGTGATGGCAAGATGACTGCTAGGAGCACTAGGTCTTCATCTGCCCAAATTCGAATTGAGCAGAATAGGAGGAGCTTTTCTCAGTTGCTCTTACTTATATCAGTCCCAGGATTTACTCCAGGTGGCCAAATTTGGATAGTTTTCCATTGTTGAACCATCCACTGTGACCAGAGGAATGCAATTTTCTAGCTGGTTTTATCTGAATCACATTTTACCCCAAGATGCATGTGGACCAAGATAAAGTAAAAAAGAGCATTTTGCTAGATAGCAAATAACACATTAAAAGCAAAGTTTTGATTGAAAACAGCAAGTGGATAAAATAATCGGGAATAAAATGATTAAAAAACATGAAGATACCGTGGTGGTGTGTTCCTGTAATCCTTTCTAAACAGTATGCTGAAGCAGGAGGATCACAGGTTTAAGGACATCCTGAACAAGGCAGAGAGGCCCGTCTCAAAAAAAGGGGAAGAACTGGGTTGGGGGTGTGGCTCAGTGGTAGAGGACTTGCCTAGCTTGTTCGCTCGTGGACCTGGGTTCCATGCTTAGCTCCTCAAGGTGGGGAGAAAGGAGAAAAAGAAAAGAAAAAATGATTTTATCTACTTATGAACTATTTTAGAGACAGAATTTAGCAAAAATCCATGTTGCAAAATGTGGTTGTTATAATAGATGTAATGAACAAAAGGGAGAGAGGAAGTACGGACAGATGATGTGGTTACTAAGTGTTAGAGGAAACTGGTATTGCTTTTCCTAACCAATTTAATGGCTGTCAGCTGTCCAGCAACTGCAGTGATGTAAATGTTCCCTAAGTGTGCTGCTCCATGTAGTAACCACTGGCCACATGTGGTTATTGAGCGAGCACTTGAAATATAAGTAATGTGACCAAGAAGCTAAATTTGAAATTGTATTTAATTTAAATATCCTCAGGTAGTTAGTAGCTATCTTCTTGGATAGTGCAGTCTCTATAATAAGGGTAATACATAAATCAAAGAGATGATATAATGGTTTATATATATATATTTTTTACCCTATCTCATTCTCCCTCAAAGTTTCTAAATACACTTGTTTTGTAGTTCTCTGATGTGACTGAGTCAAATGCAGACACATCTGAGGGGCTGCATTTGGGGCCTCCCTTGCTACAGACACCAGATTGGTTACAGTGATTCAAGTAGGTGACTGTTGGATGAAGAAAGTCTCTAGGCTGGGGATGTGGCTCACTGGTAAGCATGAGGCCCTGGGTTCAATCCCGAGCCCTACAAAGCAAAGCCTTTGGTAACCAGGGCTCTAAACAGCTGAAATACTGGGTTAGACAACCCAGTAGTCTCAGCCAGGCTATTTTCTTCTTGTACACCTGAGGCTGTATCTGCTCTTTGAGCTTCATTTCTCTTTGAAGTGTACCCTTGATTTGTTATATAAAATTAAGGGGGACAAAGCCAAGCCACTAACCAGGATTTACCACCCTGCACTATGTTATCGAGGAAAGAAAGAAAACTTGGGATCAGCTTTCTGATATAGTCATTTCAAAGAGAATTCTGCATAAGAAACAGGTAAATGTGGTCACAGACTTAAGGCAAAGGCAGGACAGGGAATAAAAAATGAGAGCCCAAGTCCCCAGGCTGTTCAGGAACATACAGTCTCTCTTCTTTGGAGCTGTGTTCTTGATTGGAGGAGGCATCTGTAGCCATTGCCCATCTGGCACATATTTTCTCAGGCTGTCAAGCTACATCTGATTTAGCAAAGTAAAACAATTTTTTGAGTCTTTTTCTTTTAAACCTGAGATGGAGGAGGAGCCTCTAAAATCCTGGCCTCAGTAAACCTTATCTCCCAGGGTCATTTCAATACTTCCAACATGACAACTTGAGTAGAGGGTTGAGGGACTTGAGATACAATTTCTTCCACTCCGTCCAGCGTTGCTTAAGAGGCCTATACACTGCTCTGGCTACCGAGGGGTGCAGATCTGCCTCAGAAGCCAGCCCATCTGTGGGACCTCTGAGGGGTCTAATACGCGTATGGCAAAGAAGCCCGTTACTGTTGTTCCCCTGACTGCTATCTGCTTTTTTTTGTTAGCTAGAGTTGCACACACAGAATTTAATTTTTTCTTACAGAAATATAAAACTTTTAACTTATTAGTTAACGTATTGGCTAAACTATTACCTAAAGTCTTAATAAGTGTATCGATAGGAAAATATGTAACTCAGTTCCAAATGATGATCATTTACAGGAGAGAGAAAAGTTAGGCAACTATGTAAAAGAAGAAATCAGGAAGAAAGAAGGGGACACAAATGATAACCAAGGTAAACACTCCTGTAGTTCGTAAGCAAGCTGTTTTCATACGCTTTTTCGAATTCCAATTCGCTGGATAACCACTGTTCACCTTCAGTCATTCTTCTGAGCCGAGGCAGCTTGGCCCTCTAGATAGTAACAGAAAAGGAACAGGTGCTCTGAAGTGGCGAGCAGGGCCCAGAGTACTTCCTCAGTCCGAAGACAGCAAACCTCGGGATAGGCCCAGTCCTGGCCGGAGGTTTTCTCCTCATGACATAAGGGTATCTTAGTGGCAGCTGCTGGATGATAATTTTCTACTAGAGAGGCTTGTCATTTTCTCTCTTCAGAAGCAGCATTTCATTTTTCTTGTGGAGGGCAAATTTCTTCTATTAAGGAGGAACTTGACTAAGGTGACCTACTTCTGTCTTTACTAAGCAGGCGAGCGAAAAGCAGTTTTACAAGGCTCTTTATTGGGGGTTTCTGTGTTTCTTTCAGAGATTGAGACAGTGAAATTGGCCCGTTCTGTCTTCAGCAAACTGCACGAGATTTGCTGCAGCTGGGTGAAAGACTTCCCTCTCCGCAGGAGACCCCAGCTTTATTATGAGACATCAATCCATGCCATCAAAAACATGCGCAGGAAAATGGAGGACAAACATGTCTGCATTCCTGACTTTAATATGCTCTTCAACCTAGAGGTAAAGGGACCTTTGGAGAGCCAATGAGATTTAAAAAACAAACACCTTCATTGTCCTGCTTGAAAAGGAGAACTATACATTTCTAATAGCATCTTGAATAAGTTACAGAAGGAGTGACTGCAAAATGGCACAGATTTGCTTGTATTAGACTACAGAAAAGGAACTATATCATGTTTTTTTAATAAGTTCAAATAAAAAAACTGGGATCATTATGTTATTTTAATAGGTTTACAAGGTTCAAAATCGCAAATGTAAAAATCTGTTTTCACCCAGATATGCAGTTCCTCTCCATGAAGGCAAGGGAAGTTACCAGTTTCTTGTGTAAGCTTTTAGAGCTATTCTGTAAACATATAAGTAAAAAAGAAAACTGTTAGATTTCTAAAAAAAAGCTCTTTTGTAAAGGAAAATATTTCTATAGTATAATTAAATGGTGTTTATTAAGTCCCCACAACACAGAACACAAACATAAAAGAATACATTTAAGGCTGAGACGGTTGATTTCATGTGATTTTCTTTTTAAAATCTTGGTGCTTGTGACAGGGAAGTGGTTGGAATTATATTCTATGAATCTTTGTGACTGACAAATTGGATCCATATAAGCCTGTCAGCTTAATAACCATTTCCTTGATGTCTTCCTTTCCTTCTCTATTAAATGTATTATGTTCACGCAAACAGAGGTAGGTTTGTTTCCTTTACCTGTCACTTGCCTCTTCTCTTCACTGAAGTCCATAACTTCAAAATTACAATGTGGTAATTTATAAAAATCACAATATTTCCTTAATTTAGCAGCTGAATTTAACTTTTAGCTGTCAAGGTCCAATCAGTGATGATAGGTTGGTAACTGTTGCTTATACAAATATGACCTGATATCTTTGTTTCCAATGCCGTGCCTTGCAAATCTAACTCAAAGGCTATGTGATAAACAACCCTCGTATTGTTACACTTATTTGAAGTTTGTACTCAGATTTGAGGGCTTTATTGCTAGCTGTTGACTTGGTTTTTAGTTTGCCTTCAAATTTAAAAATTAGCCCAGAGGCCTAACTCATCCAGGAGTACCTAAGCAACAAATATTTAGAGGTTTTGTAAATGTTCATACCTTTTGCTCTGATAATTTAATTTAATTCTCAAGAAGACAGAGCTGGGTGAGGTGGCACACACCTGGCATTCTAGCACTAGGGAGGCTGAGGCAGGAGGACTGCCACAAGTTTGAGGCAAGCCTGGGCTACACAGTGAATTCAAGGCCAGCCTGGACTACACACCAAGTCCCTGTCTTAAAAAAAAAAAAAAGTAGAAATGCAGAAAGTCTTCCAGTAGGGGAGATAGCTCTGCAGCACAGCACCTGCCTGGCAAGCACAAGTCCTGAGTTTAAGTCCCAGTACAAAAAAAAAAAATCTGAAATGACCTAACTCATTAAAGGAAATAATATATTCATAATATATATATTATGAATTGTATTACTATTAATATATATTCATTATATATTATATATAAGCCTTTAAAAGTATTGTCTTTCAGCAATACTTAGTGACATAGGGATATGCTAATGATAATATAGATGAAAAAAAAGGACATAAATTTTATATGCACTATGATCCTAACTTTATTTTAAAAAGTATATATGTATATATAGGATTGGGGTTTAACTCAGTGGTAGATCATTGCCTAACAGGCACAAGGTCCTGGATTTATTCCTAAGCACTAGAAAAACCAAAACCAAAACAAAGCAAAACAGATACTGTAACCGATGGTTATGTATGGATAGTATAGATTATAGGTGGTATTTATTTCCTTCATACCTTTTATTTTTTTAAATTATCATACATTGTTATAAAAGGGAAAACATCAATTTTATTAAGAAGCCCTTTAAAAAGTATATTTGGCCCTCTTTTGCTTCTTCTGATACTAAACTTGTTTAAAAATGAATAGTGCTTGAGTCCAGATAGAAATTCTGTCAGGATTACCTCTAGACAGTTCTATTTAATGTTAGTCTTCAATAGCATTATAGGTGGTGTTGCTTCAATTGCAACCTGTTTTAGTATTCCTTCAAACCACCATGAGACAGCAACTTGCCTCTACCTAACACAGAGAAACAAGAGAAAATACGATCTTTTCAAGAATCAGCGGGCTGGGGATGTGGCTCAGTGGTAGAGCTCTTGCATTCACAAGGTCCTGGGTTCACTCCCTAGCACCACAAACAAACAAACAAAATCGGTGACAGGGCCTGAACTCCCCTGTGGCTCCTGGAAGCCTAAGCAAAATGAACAGACTAAAAATGAAAATCATTACTTACTGTTGCCTAAAGGGAGCTCGGGGCTCTTCTGAGACTTGAGTCACCCTAGGTAAGACAGATCTGAGACTGAAACACTTGACCTGCAGATGAAGAAGTAAACTATATATTTAGTGGTTGAAGTATAAACTTATGATGAGGCTTTGTCAAGACAAAGCAAAAGTTTGGAAGACCTTCCTCTGGCAGGCGGCCTTTATGAGAAAGTATGAAACTCAATCTTGGTGTAGTCACGGGGTGAAACAGTTGAGAGTCACGCAAGGTCTTTGGCTATCTGATGTGGTTCAAGTTCCGTTACCTAGTTTACAGACTGTGCTATTTATGGTGAGAATTCAGTGTGATCATTAATGATTTATAAGGAAGGTATTACACTTTAGAACTATGTATTTTTTTTTTTTAAATCCATTTCAAACAACCTGAACATAATTGGCCTGTGCTGGAAAGCCAGTTATTTCCTGTCGTTCTCTGGCATTCTAGAAAGTCCTCAATTCTACCTCATACCTCCTTCCCCCAACCTGTAACTGCAATTTTGAAGCCAATGTATGGGGGTGGTTTCCATGGTACGAGACAACAACTTTCGAAGAGGGCGCTTCAGCCTGAGCTAATTGGGCATGATGTGTTCCAGTGCTCCGTGTGTAAACACAGATGCCCTAATATTGCAGGTATTTCAGCAAATGATCAGGCATGTTAGAAAAGGGAAACACAGACTCATCTAAGCGACAAATGCAGTAGAGGAGGAGGAAGGGCAACAATGTCTTCAGGGAACTGGTTCATTTGACTCAAACTATACCCATCCCCTTAACTGTTCTGTGTTTGTACTGACAGGACCAAGAAGAACAAGCTTACTTTGCAGTGTTTGATGGCCATGGGGGAGTGGACGCTGCCATTTATGCTTCCATTCACTTACATGTTAACTTAGTACGCCAGGAGATGTTCCCCCACGATCCTGCTGAGGCTCTGTGCCGGGCCTTCCGGGTCACTGACGAGCGCTTTGTGCAGAAGGCGGCCAGGGAGGTAGGCCACCTTCTCTTCCATTTCGGCTGTGAGTGCAGTAGCGGGGTTCACTTGGCTCTGTGTGGTTGAAGGGCTCTTTTGCGTTTTTTTCTTTCTGGTTAGGCATTATCCAGACTATACTGTTTTGACCCACAGTGTTGGATTCCGTTGTAGTTCTACGTGTAATTCCCTCTTCAGGAATAGCTGCAGAGGGGTACAATGATGTACTGTATAGGAACTTGGAAGCTATGATTTTCTGGATTCATTTCTATAATCACTGCTGGGTTTGGAAAGTGAGTTTTATCTTTCTTTTATTCCCTATTGCCTGTCAGGTTCACAGCAGGACCATGTCTCTAAGTACTCTTGCTGACAAAATCTGGATGTGGTGAATATAAAACAAAAACAATGGTTTTAAAAAAGAAACAAAAACTGGGATTACGTCCATACATTTGGTTCTAAATGGGTAGGCAGTGTTTGCTGTGTCTCTTGAGGAAAAATTTCCTTGGGGAGGCTGAATCCTCAGATGATCCTTGATTTTCTCTTAACAGGAAGGAAAGTCAGAACTCATGTGCTATATTCCTAAAGGTAGTCAGACCTAAGTGTTTTTACTCTGAATGAAATTCAAGGGCTCTATCATAAGATATAAAAGTAAAAAAAAATTATCACTCTGGGCATCAGCACACACTGGATTTTTAACTGAGGACCAGTAGAAAAAAGTTTTAAAATTACAGAATTAGATACAGAAAATAACACTCCTGCTGCATGGTTTAACTTTCTCTCTTTAAAATGTAGCTGAAGGGCCAGGGATATGGCTCAGTGGCACAGCGCCTGCTGGTACCAAAAAATAAGGTGTAGTTGGACAGATAGGGTAAATCACTTAATCCATGTCTTTGATCTCATAAGCAGTAGTAGGGCTTAGAGTTAATGAAAGTTATTCAGAAGTATTTGGTATTGAGAGAAATATTTTGTATCTGTACTCCAACCCCAAGTTTGGTTTAATATGCAAATTCTTTGAAGTAGGGCTAGAAAATAAAATACAACTCTTGACCTAAGACCTTCCCAGTCTCTTGAAAAGCATCAGTATTCTGCTTGGCTTTCTTGAAGCTGCTGGCTTTCAAGTTCCAACCTAAGGAAAAGACTGGACCCCTGACAGGTGATCTGTAATCACCATTGTGAAACAGACAGAATCGCTTTCTCTTTTTTATTCTCTAGTTTATTCCTATTCCTCTGTCTCCTCAAAATTCTGGCTTTCTCCATTCACCTCACTTGTTTTGTCAGGGTCCTAGCGTCTCAGTTCTGCCAGCAGTTCCCTTGAATAATTCAGGTTTGTCTCAGCAGTCACTTTGCTCCTTCTTGTGCTTCCATGTGCTGCTAACTGCTGGGGCAAAGCAGCTATTCCCGTTGTGAGGCAGCCCTGCCTCCTGTTCTCTCCAGGGCATATGCACTGCAGTGTCTTTATCGTGTGTTCTAGCGGACTGAGTTTTTGAACATTCTGTGTGGGAAGGTATTTTATTGGTGGGTGAGGATTTATAACAAACTTTCCCCATATAGGGAACGAGAAGTTGTTTTTCTTATTGGATAGAAGAGGCCCTTTACCACCCCTGACGCATTGGTTCTAATTTGGGCCAGGTCCTTAGTAACAGAAAGTCATGCTCATTTGATGGTGACTCATGTCAAATAGAGATGTCATTTCAGCAGAGTAGGATCAAGAGCTTTACGTACAGTGGTAGCTATTGCAGGGAAATTCCAGGTTGTTAGTTCTTTATGCAATGTTCCAAAAGCAAAAACTTCTAAAAATATTGTGAGGAAGGTATTATTTTTAAAGGTATAAGCATCTTAGTACTTTAGGGAATGCATGCTATCTCTTGGCCTCTTATCTTGGGAGAATGTGTTATATACCAGGCGAATGCTTTGTATATTATTTGTATGTCTAGGACATCTCACTGAACACACAGCAGGTCAGTAATGAAACAGAGGTTAGAATGTGGAAATCTTTAAGGGTTGATTTAGTGGATTTAGCAATGAATTGAAAAGCAAAAGAATTTTAGTTCTATTTTGTATAATCAGTTACTTGCCCTCAGACAAGTCATATAACCTGCCAGTTTTTAAATTCTGTATTTAAAATGGAATTCATAGTCCTCCCAGTCTTAGATATCACAGATCGGGTAGGTTTATATACATACATACAAGACTACACTGAAAAACACAAAATTGCTATCTGTGAAATTGTTACTATGAAGTATGATAAAAATGCAGTGAGTAAATATTTAATTTTTAAAAAATTGTAACAGTAGATGTTACAATTGATGGCGCACACCTGTAAGCTCAGCACCTGGGAGGCTGAGGCACAAGGATCACTGTGAGTTCAAGACCAGCCTGGGCTACCTAGTGAGTTCGAGGCCAGCCTGGACTACATAGCAAAACCCTGTCTCAAAAACAGTCAAACAACAGGAGGTCACACTACCATTACTTCTCCTCAAACACTATCACCCAGCCCCTGGCTTGGAAAGTACTTACCCCATCATTCTTGCCACCTCCTAAAGCAGTTCTGAAAGTCTTTCATGTGTGTCTTTGTGTTGCTATGGCTGCCTCAATGTCCTAAGACTCAATTCAAAATGTTTACCTTTCATGGTCATTTTGACTTTGGGAAAGAACCAAAAGTCACACGGTGCCAGATCTGGTGAGTACGGTGGGTGAGGACACACAGCGATGTTTTCATAAGCCTCCCTTTCTGTTGGATAGCACTGGGCAGCAGCCTTCACCATAAAGATACTCACCGAAGAGGACTTCCAGAACTGCTTCAGAAAGTAAAGGCATGATGGGATGTGTTTCTGAAGCATGGGGGAGTATTGGGGCGGGGGGAATTAGTGGCAATGTATCTTTTACTGTAATAAACTTTAAATAATGCAAACCTTTACCATATATTTTGATCATACCTTATAGTCACCTCCCAAATGAAAAGCTTCTATTATAAATTGCTTCTCAATGAGATTTTGGTATCTAGTTATTTCCATTAATTCTAGTATTACTTAAACTGTTTTCAGAGCTTAAGATGTGGGACTACAGGAGTGGTGACTTTTATCAGAGGCAACATGCTACACGTGGCCTGGGTGGGTGATTCCCAGGTTATGCTTGTGAGAAAGGGCCAAGCTGTGGAACTAATGAAACCACATAAACCAGACAGAGAGGTAAGTATGGTCTCTTCTATTAAAACACAGTTCAATAAAGGCAGTTTTCTAGTTGATTACTTAGGATTCACTCAATTATTGCCATTAATCTCAGCAACTATGCCCGCCTTCCAAAGGAAGAATACAGACAGCCTTTTCAGGACGCTGATGAGTATTTTATCTGTTGTTGTTAACTGCTAAAGTAGATGAATAAATCTTGAATCCAGTTATTTGCTTCTTTTTATTGCGTCGCTGTTTAGGATGAAAAGCAGCGAATTGAGGCCCTTGGAGGTTGTGTAGTCTGGTTTGGTGCCTGGAGGGTCAATGGAAGTCTGTCAGTCTCCAGAGCTATAGGTAGGAAAAACAAATTAATTTTGTTTCTCCAAACTGTACTCTTCTAGCACCCTGTCTCACTTTAACTCTGAAACCCAGGAACCCATCAACCTGAGATGATGATTTATAGTATCAGAATGCTTATTGTATGTTTCAAATAACAACTGGATAATGCCTTTTTCTCATTATTTAATGACACCTGTTGATATTCTTAAATTCCATTATAAAAAGGGAGCCATACAAGCAATGCCAAATTTACTATTCATATGTATTTTTAAAAAATAGCTTTTAATTATAAGTATGCAAATCTCCTTAAACCATAACAATCTTCATTTCATTACATTTGTGGTCATATTTCACTGAATCAGTACTTTCCAGAGAATAGAAGGTTCTCCTTACATTTTATCCATATTTTAAAAAATATCTTTACATCATTTAAAGAAATTTCAAAATGATATAAATAATGGAATTCATAGGGATCACTGTATTTTTTAATATGGAAACTATTTTTCATAAGTAGACTACAGTAATTTGTCAGATAACATGTCTCCTTAGGATTTAAGTTTTTCAAAAGCAAGTGAAAGTCAGTAACTGTCTAAAACAGAGATTAAGTAGCTGACTGGAAAAAATGCAAGAGTATAGGTTCAAAGAATTGAGCTATTTGTTTTTGTCTTGCTTTGGGCCCTGGGTCTTTATTTTAGGCTTTGTAATTTGCCTTTACTTCCCGGTTTTTAAAAGAATAAATCAATGTCTATCTTCATAGGTGATATGAACATGTACTGTTATTCTAAATGTTTGCCTCCCTGAAGAAATACAGTAATTGGCCCTAGGGTTAGCATAGATAAGAGTTCACATTTAATTTCCAAATTTAGTTTATTATTACCCAAAAGTTCCAGAACAGTAAGAAAATCTGAGAAGAATGATTTTCTTTTCCCACTGATCCGAGTTCCTCCCACTCTTTGGGGAGGTGCTGGCAAGCTGTGAAGTGGCCCAAATACAAGCAGTAGAAGGCTCAAAGAGAAATAGCTGAGAGATTCTACACATACCTCCTAAAGAACGGATAGATCTACCTTACACTGAGGGTGTTAATAGGAACTCTGGAATAGGGCCAACTTCTCATTTCTAACATACATTCTTATATAGAATTATTTTTGACAGCTCTAACTGAAGACCTCTTTTTCTTGATCTCACCTGTCTTTGTCAGAAGACTGAGGGTTATCTTTAATGCTTGTTTTAGAACAGCAACTTACTAGAGGATACCTCTTTTCTTGATTCTAAAAATAGAACACAAGCTGAAACTAAAGCAGAAGAATGTCCTTGAAAAAGTCAGTCTAAGAATAAGGTTAGCTATGTCATAGAGGAAGTCGCTTTTAAGGAAAGGAAATCCCAGGTACATAAAGGAATATAAATACATGGGAGTTGGAAAGGGTGTGGCATTTTAGGAACAGTGACAAATGGAGGAGGCTAGAGCGAGGGTGAATGCTAGGAGACTCTGTTTGTAGCATACTGTGAAGGGCTTCACATTCGAGGCTGAGTAGGCTGGACTTTACCAGGTGAGTAAGCAGACAGGCCACGCGGTCAGGTTGTACTTAGAGATATTTATAGGTACAGCACAGAAGGTGGGCTAGACGACAAAGCGCCTAGTTGGGAGATCAGGGGGCTGTGGATACATTTGTCACAGTGATGGAGACGGCTAAAACGGGATCCAGAAGGTGTAACTGATGAGACAGAACGGTTGTGCGGAAAGGGAAAGCAAACTTCCAGGTTTCTGACTGGAACGATAAAACATTTGTAATAAAGCATCAGCAGTTTGGGGATGGGGAAGACAGGTAATAAATTGTTGGAACATATTTTTATATTCTGGGTACCTATGGGATGACTTGGAAGAGAATATATAGTTGTAAATACAGATCTGGAGCTTAGCTGAAAGTTCTAGGTTGGAGACAGAGGTTTGAGAACTCATTCTGTTTTGGCAATGATGCTAGCTAACTGTGAAGCAAAACGTAGGCATGGGTTACACTGCCCAGGGAGCATGTGTTTTGTGAAAATGCCACAGGCTCATCACTTTAGGGAGAATAATACTGTGGACAGACTCTGGATTTGCACTTCACAGGCTGCAGGCCTTAGTAAATTTACTTCACTTCTGTCTGTTTGCTCCTTTGTGAAATAGGAGTAATAACAGGACCTAGCTGAGGGAGTCTTTATATTAAATGGTGTAGCACACGCACCATATTTAAGGCCATCTCTGGCAAATTCTTAGCACACAATGAATGTTGTGTTATTAAGTGAGTTATTTAAGCAAAGAAAATCAAGAAACAATCAGACGTTGAGCAGTGGGATCTTATGCTTACAGAAAGAGGCTTTGTAGGAGCAAACAGCCTGCAGTGTTAAGTGCTACAGAGGACAAGTGAAAAGAGGGTTTAAAAGAGCACGGAATTAAACAATCAGGAAATAAATGATGATACTTGAAAGAAGTACTTTAGATTGGGAGGTGTGAAAAACTACTAATTGGGTTTTAGAAAACAACAAGGTGAGGAAGAAGGTAGTAACACGGGAACAGACACAGACTTAGTGTCCTGGGCAGTTTGATTGTGAAAGGGAGAAAGGTGTGATAGCCTGATGGAAAAGCTGGTTTGGGAAAAGGCTGCTTTTATTGCTTCTGTTTTTAGGATGAGGAAATTTTAGATTTGAGTGCGTTTATAGGAAAAAGACAGTGATAAGAGGGAAAACTGAAAATAAGCATAACCAGAGAAGTGGGAAGACACGGCCAACAGCACAGGCTGGCTTTGAAAGAAAGAGACTTGGGCAAATGGCAGTGGATTTGGTGAATCTCCACCAAAAAAAAATTTTTTTTTAAAACTTGAGGGCAGTGTAGGAATTGAGGACATTCAATAAATGATAAAGCTTTGAAGATGAAAAGCTTTTCAATTGTTTCTCTGCATAAACCCTTCAGATTCATGATCCAAAGTTGACAGAAGCATAATGTTTCCTAGCATATGGAGAGAGGAGGCTGAAGACACAAGGATGTTGCCATTTCTACAATGAAATGGATATTCATGCCCTCCTACCAAATTTGGGGGCGAAATGTCATGAATCTGACACCAACAGTAGAGCAGGTGAAAAGTCAGAACTTTGGCAGCATTTTCTCTATGCAAATCTTTGTATGTTCTGTTCCAAACCAACAGTTGCAGTAGTCTTTTAATTGTAGCACTAAAACAAGACTTTTGGGAACAGTATGACTCAGATCACATTTATTTTTAGAGGTGGAATTAAACAAATAATGGTAATTGAGTCAGGTAGAGTAGGGAAAATTAAGTGGATTGGTGGAGGATACAATCCCATGATTGGAAGTTTTAATTATCTCTAAGAGGGTATTGGGAGGCATCACAGTAAAGAAGTGAAGTTTGTAAAATCAAGACCATGTTTGAAGATGGTTTGACTATAGTGAATAGTGCATGAATGGAAGACAGCCTAGCTGAATAAGAGGAGGAGTTATACATTTGAGAATAGGAATGGAGCTGAGGACTTAAAGGGTCAAAAGACTAGTATTTTACTTTACAGATATACTAACTGAAGTCATTCTATTAAGGAACTGTCATGTTCTGTTTTGCTTTTGAGATAGGGTCTTACCATGCAGTTCTGGGTGCCCTTGAAGTCACTATGTAGCTTAGGCCTGCCTCGGAGATCTTCCTGCCCCAGCCTCCTGAGTATTAGATGATAGGTGTGAACCACCACACCTGGCTAATTTTTTTTTTTTTTCTCGGTCTTTTCTGATAGACAATCATACAACCTCCTGGACAGGTAGTGCATATTGCCCACATTGGTTCTAGGAGAGTGGTCCATAGGGGTCCTATTGAACCTTCTGGGCCTGAGGATTAAATGGGTATGAAATGTTCAAAAGAAGTCTTTCTTGGACAGAGGAGAACCTACAACAGATAAGAAACAATGACTATATAGCCATATAACTTAAATTAGTTTACCTTCATTTTATCTTTCCCTAGTTAAAAAGTTCCTTTTAGTAGAGTAGAAAGGGCAGTCATTAATGACAGTTGTGTAGGTAACAAGCTAAGATTTAGAACTAGGCAGTCTTGACAGCAGTGCTGGTGTCCTTAACCACTACCAGCTAGGTTCTCTCCAGGTACTTAAAGGAAAACAATGAAAGCAAACCATGAATATATCCTGTAGTGTTCAGGATCTGAAAGTTCCAAGGGCGCTGCAGGTGATCAATCATCTGGGTAGCTGGTGACAGGAACCGAGCTCACTGTGGGTCCAGGGTCTCCAGTTTCTATTACACACCACACCCTAACAGCGGCCTCTGTCTTTACTTATGCTGAAGGACCTCTGCCTGGTGATACAAGACCCAGCTCAAATGTGATTCTGTGAGTAAATGAACTAAGCAAAAAGAGGGAGGCCCGGGAGAGCCTTGGGGTTCTCAGAGTTGTTAATAAGTGAGTGGATGAACAGCAAGGACAGAAGAGGGTATTAATCAGAGACACAGGAAGAAATCAAGAACATGGTAATAATTTCTAAAGAGAAAAATGGTCATATATTGTCTATAGGTTAAAACAAAACAGCATTAAAAAGAAAGCCAAGCAGATTAGGGCCCAAGAGACCTTCATTCTAGTTCCCTATGTGAAGCCTTGGATAAGCCACATGAGATTTCCTAGCCTGAGGGAGTTACAATTGATACTTTAAATTCCTTGGTAACACAAACCTTCTTCTGTGCTTGCAATATGAAGCTACTTTTGATTTCTAAATAACGACAGAACAAAAATTGTTTAATGAAGAGAATGATCAGAACTTTTGTTTTTGTCTTTTTGAGACAGCGTCTCATTATGCAGTTCAGGCTGGCCTTGAGCTCAGTTTGTAGCCTAGGCTGATCTCAAACTCACACCAATCCTCCTGCCTCAGCCTCCTGAGTGCTGGGATTAGAGGCATGCACCACCATGTCTGGCTTTAGTTTGTTTTTACAAGTAGACTTGTACTCAAGTTGAAATGAAATAAAATCTAACCACTATGTAGGTATGAATTTTTTAGTACAGCAGCAAATCTAGATCTACCCTACTGGTCATACTTAGCAAAGCCTAAATGACAGCCAGAGGCACAAGCTTCAGAGTATATGCTAGACAAAGAACTAAGCCAAATGACTAGCAATTATTCAACTGGGATTAAGACATAAGCAATAACTACTAAACAGAGAACTTAAAAATGTTTTATCTGAAATTATAAATTCTATGAAATTATGATCAGTCATGACACTGGCTATAAACTTTTTTTCTTTTATGCTACTGGATGCTGAACCCAGGGGCCTTTGCAGTGAACTATATCCTCAGACTTGTAAAAAAGAAATTTAAAAAAAAAAATGTTTTTAGACAAGATCTCATTAAATAGCTTAAATCCCCAGGCTGGGCTTGAACTTGCAGTCCTCAGCTTCCCAGAGTATTAGGATTATAGGTTTGTGCCACCATGCCTGGTGTGGCCATAAACATTCTAAGCATTCAAGTAAACCAAAATCTGCCTTCTGAACTCTCTACTTTCAAATTCCCACAGGAGATGCTGAACATAAGCCATATATCTGTGGGGATGCAGACTCTGCCTCTACTGTCTTGGATGGGACAGAAGACTACCTCATTCTGGCCTGTGATGGCTTCTATGATACCGTGAACCCTGATGAGGCAGTGAAAGTTGTGTCTGACCACTTGAAAGAGAACAATGGAGACAGCAGCATGGTCGCCCACAAATTAGTGGCATCAGCTCGTGACGCTGGGTCAAGTGATAACATCACTGTTATTGTGGTATTCCTGAGGGACATGAACAAAGCTGTAAATGTTAGTGTGGAATCAGATTGGACAGAGAACTCTTTTCAAGGAGGGCAAGAAGATGGTGGGGATGATAAGGAGAATCATGGAGAATGCAAACGCCCTTGGCCTCAGCACCAGTGCTCAGCACCAGCCGATCTAGGCTATGATGGGCGTGTGGATTCATTCACTGATAGAACCAGCCTCAGCCCAGGGTCCCAAATCAACGTGCTGGAAGACCCAGGCTACCTAGATCTCACACAATTAGAAGAAAGCAAACCTCACAGTGCCCAGTTTTTGCCACCAGTTGAAATGTTTGGTCCTGGTGCACCAAAGAAAGCCAATCTTAATGAGCTAATGATGGAGGAAAAATCAGTTCAATCATCACTGCCTGAATGGAATGGTGCTGGAGAGTTTCCCGCTTCTTTTAATTTGGGTTCCACAGGGCAGCAGATATACAGAATGGAGACTTCGTCTCCTGTCTGTTCTGGGTTGGAAAATGAACAGTTAAAATCCCTGGGGAAAAGAGTTTCTAGATTGTATCATTCATACCATTACCACTCCAAGAGGCGGCAAAAGTTTTATTCGTTTTTCTCTGCTCAAGAGCCTTCCCACAAAATAGGCATTAGCCTGACCTCACTTATTCGAAGTGGGAAGAAAAACAGGATGGTAAGAAGTTCTGTCCCATGGAGGGAAAACAGCTGGAAAGGGTACAATGAAATCACAATGAAGAAGGCCAGAAAGAGTAATGATATTCCATGCCCAGATGTCTTCAGGAGCTGTAAAATATAATACTTTTTCATTACGGTAGGCTAGCTAGCTCTCCCTCAATTAAAAACACCACTATCAGAGTAGAAACAAGGTAGACATTTCTAAAACACATGTGCTTCATTATAAACCCATGGATGACTCAATTCTTAAGTGTAAATAGATCTCTAGGAAACTCAAAATAGTGTTTCAAACTGAAAAAAAAGTATTGGCGGTTTCACTAGCAAATTATACAACTGGTCCCTGTGATGTGTCTCTAAACCTGCCCTCTGCCCCTACCCCGCCATCCCTTCACATCACTAGTGGAAGCTTGAAGTTATTTCAGTCAGGACGTATAGTGTCGAAATCTGGTCTGATGTGCCTCATATCTATGAAAAAGTCAATGCAGAATTTAGTTGGGAAACCTCTCTCAAGATCTTAGGGTCTATGAAGGATCCCTCTCCCCCTTTTTTGGGTAGGTAAAAGACTAAAAGCCATATGGGTTTTAACCGGTAACAATGAAAGTAGAAAGCTAACGTAGAGGTGTCATAGTCTCAGACTTGTAAGGCAGGATATAGTTAAAATTTACTGGTTTTTTTTTTCCTGTAACATAAAACTGAACATCTTTTGAATTAAAAATATTTCCTAGGGCTGTAGTTATTTGGGAGTTTCATACCCGTCATGGTGCTTTTGGTGGAATTTTTATTATTTGTCATTTTAGAAAACCACTGTTTTAATCTATAATGCTAATGTGTTTTTCACTGTACCTTCATCTCAGGAATAAAACTGGTTTAACAGAGATGATGTCAGGTACAAATATACAAGAATCAAAATGCCATTTATAAAAGAAAGTTAAATAGAATTTGTATATTTTCTACCTTTTTTTTAAAAAGTTCACAGACAGCATGGGCATATACAACTGTAACATAAAAAGCAGTTCTGGAGAATTAAAAATGCTAGTTTGAACTTCTCTAAAATTGTTTTCCCCAAGGGAATGAAGTAATTGGTATGAAGGAGACTAAAAATACTACCTAAAGTGAACCCACAGGCCAAGTGCAAAGAAAATGCAGATTACCAAAAGCCAGGTCTGTTCAGTTGTAACTGGAAGACAAGCTAGAGTCCTGCTACAGGGAAATTCAGACTGTACAAACAGGCCATGTACTTCTCATTTCATATTTAGTTATATTTCAGTTTAAAGTCATGTTTTTTGCTATTTCTGCCATTTCAAGCCAGAAGCATATCTTCAACTAAAGACAGCAAATAAACTATCATTCAGCAAAGCAGCCTTGATTCCAAGAATCACGAATGTCTCCATGTCACCCTTCCCTAGCCAACGGTGGCCCAGCCATGCCAATGGCCAGGAGTGGCCCTGCTGCACTGATCACTCAGAGCTGGATGCACTCACTGCCTAACCATGTCTTTATATGATCGTACAATTACCTTCAGTTCCCTGGACAGAGCAGGGTTACAATTCCTGAGTTTTAAAGATAGAGATGACTGCAGCATATTACAGGTGCCAGTATAGCTGTATCAAATAATTTTTAAACAAAGCTTCACTTTAGCAATGATCTGATTATTAATCTACATACAGATTTTATTTTTTAAAATTTGGATGTAAGAGATTTTCAGTGTTTTTCTCTTGACTTTGAAGTCATTCATTCTTTCCTTGTCTTGTGACACCGAGTTGCAAGAGTAAACATGGCTCCAACTATAGTATTAGATTTTTTTCATCGTTCTGATTCTTTGCCCTACACATGGGCCTCACTCATATCTGTCATTTTCTGAAGCCTAGATCTTGCTGACAACCCTTCCGATGCAGTGTCAGTTTCAAATCAAGTTATCTAAGGAAACAAAACAAAGGCAGCAGAATATTGGTACATATTATAGTCCAAAATGCTTAGCTAAGTGACAGACTAAATTTTCTGTAGTTGTCTGTTGGTAATGCTTTTAATTAGAATAAAGATAAAAGGAAAAAGAAGCTGCACGTGATAAGCTTTTTCAGTAGGGGAAAAATGGTTGGATGAAACTGGGACAAACACAGACCCATTTCTAAGGGTATGGGGATGTGTAGATCTGACTATATAGCAGTGTTAATTCCATGTTTCATACCATTACTTCTCTAGAAAATAAAGTAGTTCTCTCGATACTGTAAAAAATAGCAACTATTCATTTGTTCACAACATACATATTTATAGGGTAGTTAGGTACCATTTGTAAGGTAAGTCCTTTAAAATTCTAGAATAAATATTAAGGTAGTGGTTATTGGTCTGATATATGCTGCTCTTGGTCCTATAAACTAGATAAAAAGCAGTGCTTTGTGAAATGCAGTGTTATATCTTAATGCCACTGGTGATAGAAAGTAGTTCCCTTCCGTTCAAATCCTGTGCCCTTAATTTGCTGCTTGCTAACGTAAGCAATAAGTAACCCTTTAACTAATGGTATCTACATATTATCGTAACTTGTATTTAATGATGGTGTACCTGGTGATTGTAAAAAAATAGACAGATATAAAAGTATATATTCTATATTAACTGTTAATGCTGAGGTATAGTCCGTGAATTATGTGTTTCGTACTTTTACTCATTGTGTAATTTAGTGGTGGTGAAAGTTCTACACTCAATTCTTGAAGAGTGGCAGTATCCCTTTTTCAATTTAACATGATCTGCATTAATCTGTTTGCCTGCTAACCAAGTTTTGTTAGAATAGGAAATAGTAAAATATAAACAAGAAAGTGTAGTACTGGTTAGGAAAACAGACTTCAAGTCGCCAAATGAAGTTACTACAAACTCCTTGTACATTCACTGTGAGTTTCAAAGGGAGTCAGTCCCTAACAAAGGTTTCCTTTTTCACTTTCTAGATGTGTACATCTAGAGGGACATCTGCGGTTAGGCAACATTACAGCACCAAATACTGGGGCTATTAATCCCATTAGGTCTGTACTACAGAGGTCAGGTAGACACATATGTATATACCTTTTCTTTACCTAGAAGTGCCATCCATTGTCCTTGAAGAATACAATTAAAGTTCCTGTTGCATAGAACTAGGAGTCTCTTGAAGGTAAATCTTTTCCAAGGACAATGTCAACACTAAGTCAACTCTAACCATATTTATAGTGGTTTAGTACCAACACTGCATTTTCAGGACAATCACACTCCATGGCTGGAACACTGTGCCAGTAAGAAGTGAAACATCAATGGGCAGATGAAAATGACACATGAAGAGTTCTGTGTTTACAGATAAAACTGCTGTGGTTCAAGTACTTCCTTCCAAATCAAAGGCTTGGTGAGGTGGTAAGAAAATGATCTAAATTTTTTAAACAGTTTGTTCAGTCAATGATCATTCTCATCTAAGCAAGGCCATAAAAGGGGATACTATAAATTTTGCTCACATCTTAATTTCAGATGATTTTTGAGTCATAAATTAGACAATAAAAAGAATTTTTTCACCTTTGAAAAACCATGTGCTGTTAAGAGATAAGTACCCACTCTTCTGTTCTGACCTGTGAAAAGATTAAATGTTTTTTCAAAACAAAATGATCACCAGTATTATAACAAGCATCTTTCAAACAAAGGGCACGATATTAAAGAATTGCTACTTCCTCCAGCAGCATTTTATCTATTTCAATGACTATTTACTGTACTAATTAGAAATTATCAAATAGGAGACTCCAGACTGACACAGCAGTTGCTTATGAAAAGGAAATGTTTTGACTTTGATGTATTAGATAATCCAGATACATCACTGTAAACTTTCCAGGTGCTCTCTGGTGAGACAGGCTTTCTCTTGTTCATGACATTTCTCTGCGAAGAATTCTCTATGGAGTGAAGGGAGTGAAGTGAATCATTTCTTACCAAGTAAATGTATCAATTTACAAATCTGCTCTACAGATCACCTTTGAGTTCAGTTGTAATCATATTTTATTTATTAAGCTGTTCATTCAAGTAAAGAGTATGTTGAAATTTTGCCAATATCTTAATAAAACCCGGCAATTTAAAACCAATAGTCATTTGTCTTTTTCTTTAAGAGAACACTGTCATTTAGGGCTTAAAATTAGGCAGATTCTCTCAGAAATAGAAAGAAATTCCCAAGATGATAGTTTTCTTTAGCCTTACCTAGGGGGGAGGTTAGGGGTGGTGGTGGGTGTGTGTGTGTGTGTGTGTTGGGGAGGTAGGGGGCTGTGCTTGTAAGGCAAGTGCTCCACCACTTCTACCATTTTGAGCCAACAACTCAAGTTTTTCCCTTTCAGTCAGAAAAGGAAACAGGTGAATTATGGTTGGAAGTCTCTGGAGGACTGCTCTCAAGAGACTAATAGAAGGAAAGTAGAGGGGCCAGGGATTTAGCTCAGTAGCACAGCACCTGCCTGGCAAGCG